AATCATTACTTACATTAGGGAAACTATTCAATATTCACACATGTGAGATTGATTTATTTCACTTATGAGTATGGTCTCAAGCAGCACCCATTTATTGATAAATATCTCATTGTGATCCTTCTTTATAGCTGAGTAATACTCCATTGTATAGAAACACCACAACTTTTTTATCCATTGCTCAGTTGATGGACACTTGGGTTGTTTCCAAGATCTAGCAATTACAAATGGTGCTGCTATAAACATAGGTACACATATATCACTGTGGTATGATGCTTTCAGTTCTTCTGGGAATATGCCTAGAAGTGGAATAGCTGGAACAAATGGGACTTCCAACCCCAGCTTTTTGAGAAATCTCCAGACTGACCTCCAGAAAGGCTGTACCAGTCTATATTCCCACCAACAGTGCAGGAGAGTTCCTTTTCCCCCACAGCCTCTCCAGCATTTGTTGTTGGTTTTCTTGATCCTGGCCATTCTTTCAGGAGTGAGATGGTATCTCAGTGTGGTTTTAATTTGCATTTCTCTAATGAGTAATACTGATGAAAATTTTTTCATGTATTTATTTGCCATTTGTATTTCTTCATCTGAGAAGCGCGTATTCATCTCAGATGCCCATTTTTGGATTGGATCTTTGCATTTTGGGGGTCTGAGTTTTTTTAATTCTTCATATATTTTAGACAAAAGTCCCTTGTCTGAGGGGGAGTTCACTAAGATCTTTTCCCAGTTTGTGGGTTTTCTTTTCACTATGCTGGAGATTTCTTTTGACATGCAGAAACTTTTTAATAAAAGGTGGTGCCAGTTATTGACTCTGGGATGTATTTCCTGTGCGGTTTGAGTCCTGTTCATGAATTCTCTACCTACCCCTATGTCTTCAAGGTTTTTACCCAATTTGTCTTCCAATAGATTCAGTGTTTCTGGTTTAATACTCAGATCTTTGACCCATTTAGATTTTAATTTAGTACATGGTGATAGACATGGGTCTAGCTTTAGTTTTTGGCAAATGGAGAGCCAGTTTTTCCAACACCATTTATTAAAGAGACTGTTGTTCTTCCAGTGAACCTGCTTGGCTCCTTTATCAAAGATAAGGTGGTTGAGTGTATTTGTAGTTGTCATTGTGTCTTCTAACCTATTCCATTGATCTTTGGCTCTGTTTTGATTCCAGTACCATGTTGATTTAACTACAATTGCTTTGCAGTATAACTTCAAGTCAGGGATTGTGATGCCTCCTGCCTTGACTTTGCTGCTTATAACTGCCTTTGCTATTCTAGGTCTCTTCTGGTTCCAGATGAATTTTAGCAGTGATTTCTCTAGATTTATAAGGTATGCTGATGGTATTTTTATTGGGATTGCATTGAATCTGTATAACATTTTTGGGAGAATGGCCATGTTCACAATGTTTGTTCTTCCTATCCATGAGCAAGGGATGTCTTTCTATTTTCTGAGATCATCTTCAATTTATTTTTTCAATGTATTATAATTTTCCCTGTATAGGTCTTTCACTTCTTTCATAAGAGTAATTCCTAAATATTTCATTTTTTTGCCTGCTAGTGTGAAGAGTGTGGTTTCTCTTATTTCCCTCTCTGTGATTTTGTTGTTAGTGTATAGGAATGCTACTGATTTCTGAGTACTGATTTTGTATCCAGCTACATTACTGAATTTATTTATTATATCTAAGTTATCAATGGAGTTTAGGGGGTCTTCTATGTAGAGTATCATGTCATCTGCAAACAATGATAATTTAACTTCTTTTCCTATCTTTACCCCTTTTATTTCTCTCTGTCTAATTGCTCTGGCTAGTACTTCCAGTACTATATTAAATAGGAGTGGTGATAAAGGACATCCTTGTCTTGTGCCTGATTTTAAAGTAAAGGCTTTCAATTTTTGGCCATTTAGTATGATGCTGGCTGTTGGTTTTTCATAAATGGCCTTTATCATATTGAGGTAACGACCATCTATTCCAATTTTCTGTAAAGTTCTTATCATGAATGGATTTTGGACCTTATCAAAGTCTTTTTCTGCATCTATAGAAATGATCTTGTGATTCTTACTTTTGGCTTTATTGATATGGTGGATTACATTTATTGATTTACATATGTTGAACCATCCCTGCATGAATCCCACTTGGTCATGGTGTATAATTTATCAAGATTTCTTTGGATCACTTTAATTTCCAGAAATCATGTTACACTGCAGACTAAATCTGGACAGCAAATCCCCACACATATCATCCATGATTTTTCATGGTTGTGTCTCCACTTAAGGAGAACTTCAAGAGGCACACAAAAGTTGGAATTAAAATGACTCCTACTATATTTTTCTCATGCAGCATGTATAATAGAAAATTTGCATGACATACTTGAAGAACGTACCAGAATACAGCAAATTCTAAAAAAAGAACCACTGCAAACAGAACAGCATTAACAGAATAAAGTGTTAATTAAAGTTACCATTTCTGAAAACTAATGATAGCAAATGCACTGGAATAACCAGAGTGATCCACTTATAATACAAAAAAAGTCACTGCTCTACAACAAATAGCAAAACAGATCTCACCAAATAAAAGAAGAAATTGTACAATACAGAATCTAATAGCCTGGTCACACATCTCTCTTTACTTGTATTCATTCAGCAAATTATATTTCCTGTATGTTGATTTATGTTTTTCTTTTAATAATTGGAAATATCAAAATGCTGTACATTTACTTCTTTTAGACATTGCCTGTCTCCAGAACCAAAATGAAAGCTCCATGAGGGTAGCATTTTTAATTTTTTTGACTCTTTTATCAGTCATTGCATCATTAGTATCTGTGCCTAGTAGAGTGTCTGGAAAAGTGTCTATGCAAAGTATTTGTGACATGAAGGGGCAGATTGAATTTGAAGTTAACGTAGCCAAAGCAACAAATGAAACAGACATTCCCGGGTCTAGCCTAAAGCTCACAAATGTTTCTAAGGACAACTGTGCCTTTCATTAGAGTAAAATATAGCAGCCAGAGGAATGGGGAACTGGAGACTCCATCATAAGCATAAAAAGGACACATTCAAAATTCAGACCCAGATTATAATACATTTGCTAGAATATGGGCAGAGGTCATGTGTATTCTTCTAGAAATTTTGGTTTTCAGGGATTCACAAGAATTACATTCACATCATGTGAAATTTCCCAGAGTCCAAAATACCTAATTTTAAAAAGAAAAAAAAAAAATCAAAGATCAACCATGACATGACAGCAGTCTGAAATTGGTTCTGCTGAGGCTGTAGATGATGGCTAGGCAAAATTTTGTGGTATATGAAAGAAAATAATCTCTGCAATGTTGAGGTGGGCTTGCTTTATGTAATGACTATGATAATCCATCAACCTCATGTCAATGTTAGTTAGACAGAATGAACTGGATTTAATAACTTCTTTAAACTTCTGGAATGTCCTTGGCTATACCACACTACCACCCCCAGCTATGCATGGAGTTAGGGAAGCTTAGGCAAAAGCAAGCTACTGGCGCTCCTTCTGTGGGAACAGAAGTATAGTTAGTAGAGGGTGGAGGTACAAAATCAAGAGAAAGGATTTTGATAGGGATCTGAGGAGGATTCTATAAAGATAAGACAAAGAGGAAAAAAAAACACATCAACCCATGCACTAGACACCACAGTTCTGAGGGACTTTATTGCGGTTGCCACTCCTTTTGTCCACTAACCACAACAGCTCCATGCAGCATTCATTATACAGTCAAACTAATTACTTGTACAAAATCACGTTTCCCAGGCCAGCTTTCCACGGCAACTACATCACCTGGAAAGAAAGAGTTGTACACATTTGCAATACTGCTCCCCACGGGTTTGCGGGGGCATCAACACTGTTGAAGAATTATCAGTGAGATGTAAATAGCCAGAAGCTTTGGGGGTGAGGGTCAAGAGAGAAGGGGAGTTTCTAGTGTGTGAGAACCTCCCTTTGGTGCAGCCAAATGAGGTTTCAGGCAGATGCTGAAAGAATCATGGACCGTCAAAGTATTCCTCATGCCCTGACAGACATTAGGCTCTATCCTGTGATGCCCCAGCAAGAGGAAGACCAGTGATGGGACTGCTGTACTTGGGTTCAGCAAGGTTCCATTCTCCTGCATAGCATACTCTCCCACAGCCCAGTTTATGGAGAACCGTGTAAGTGAGTTTAGGCTGAGAATTGAGGTTCTGCTCCGCAGATGTGGCACAAACTCCCTGAAACAAGAAAAGCCTTACAGGTATAAACTTGCCTCCTGCTTAACTCATCTGAATCATCCCCACCAAAATGCCCTTCTAGGCTGGGGATTTAGTTCAGTGGCATAAGCGCCTGCCTTGCAAGCAGGCAGTCGCGAGTTCGATCCCTGGTACTGATAAAAACGAAAAAGACAAAAAAAAAAAAAAAAAAACAAACAAAAAATGCCCTTCTAGAGAACTTTCATACTTGCCTTCTTAGACAGTTGTCACTTTCTTTGTACACAAAGCCACAGAGGTCAATGTGGATACTGCCAGGAGTCCAACTGATTCCTGAGCCTAAAATCCCTTACGAACCCCACTCTCCACACCTCTTTTACTCTATTCTCATCCTCTCATCAGTCTTTCTTCTTAGAATTCTCCCTTGCTCAGTATCCCCTCCTTTCTGGCCTGATACCTATGACAGACTCTGCCTGTCTGTCTGTCTCTCTCTCTGTATGTCTTAGAACTCTCTCCAGATCCCTACCAACTGGACCTCTTGTGACCATCCTTGTGGCCCTCTCTACTCAGTTCATTTTGCTTTCCTCCAAGCTCCAAGATCTCACTCTCTGTTATCCTTTGCTATTCTCCCACCTGGATGTTTCCCCTTCATAGTTTGTCCCTCTTCCGGGAAGCCTCCTTCTTCCTGATCCCTTTTCTCCTGTTCTTAAACAGTGGCCTCATCCTCTCTCTTTCCCTACAGCCCATAACTAGTCCCCCCCAATGTCCTCCCCCCTTAACCAGACCAGCTAAAGGCCAGTCCATTTTCAGATGAATGATGATAGTTTCTTTGCTGCACTTTATTCACAGACTCAATTGACAGCTGTTCCTTCTTTTCATGCCCCATCCACCAAACACACCCAAACTTTTTAAGAGAAAGTGCCTATACACAGCATGTCACATCCACATAAATTTGTATTTTTCAGAACAAAATTACAATTATGCTGGTCATCAGGGACCCCTAGACTTTCAATACAGTAAAAGGCAGCATTTTTGGCATCTCTACAAATTATGGATTTATTTCCACAAATGTGGGAAATTTTACCCCAACATTTAGGACTTTTTCACCAAATCATAGACATAGATATGAAAGTCATCATCAAACTTGATGAAATACACAGAAGGTTTGGCTTCTACTTGGTGAATAACCATGCCGATTCTTTTGGAGCCATCTTCTTTGGTATATTCCACATGTTTGCCTATTAGGCCATCAACCACTCCTCCTGGCTCCCTTTCTGCTGGTGGAGACTCACTGGACTCTGGCATGATGCGGAGATCACCTTCTTTATAGTCATCTAAAAGCTGATACATGTACAAGACAGGATCCTTCTCATAGGTAATATAAAACCAGGCTTTCATGATAGGTGCTTGGGCTAGGACCATCCCCCTCCATTCATCCTTGGTACCATGCTCACTCTCAAACATATGTTCCACTGCTTTGCCAATTATGGTATTTGCAAGGTTGGCGTCACTAACTTGTGATGATGCCACCTTGTTGGAAAGAATTTTAAGAGACAAAACTCTTTCATCTCTGTGAAGTTCCAATCCACAGACACAGTCAATTCCATCATATTTCACTAGATAAAGAGAGGGATTTATAGGCACCTGATCCAGAACGGTCCCTTTCCACTGGGTGATGGGCTCATCGCCTTCCTTCCATCCGTGAGAAATTCTGCAGCCCACGATGTTTCTGCGGGGCTGGGATGAAGGTCTGCCTCTCTGCCTCTTCTGGGATGATTTCTTCTTTGTGAAGTTTGCTGACCCAGTGGCTCGTCCTGCAGAGGATCTGGTTTGTTGTCCTTCGGCCTCTTGTGTGTTGGAGGTCTTCATGCCTGCAAAGACAAGGAGACAGGATACAGGCAAACACCCAGTATGCCATAAGGTCAACTTCACCCTTAGTGATGGTTCTGTTCTTGAGCCTAATGCTGTTTCCCTTGGAGCCTGCCAGCAATGCTAAGTATACTGGCAGCTGCCTGCAGTTAGTTCTTTCAATCTTTTTTTCTGTCTCTTTCTGTCTCTCTCCTTCTCTCTCTGTATCTCTCTCTGTCTCTTTCTCTGTCTCCCCTCCCCCTTCTTTTTTTTTCTCTCACTCTCAGTCCCTCCTCCCTTTAGTCCCCCCTTCAAGCTGGAGAGAAGGGCTGGAGAGAAGGTAGTGCTGCCTGGGAGTAAGAACTCTAATCTCAGAAGGGAAAAGAGAAACTTCTGTTTTTTCAGTACCCACTTTTTGAACTGCCCCTGGTGTCCACTCTAGAGCCTCTGCAAATCACCTATCTCTCCACCTTGTCAAAGCCCCACTGTCCTGTGTGAGTGCCCCAGATGACTCACTTGACCCCTGCTCACTTCAGTGGTTTCCCTGGTGCCCACCTCTCCTGCTTTCCTGAGCTCATTTTCAAATCCTTGCGTGGTTTCTAAAGCCACTCCCTTTCCTGTTGCCCACGGCATTCCCCCACCCCACTCAAAGCCTGGCGCCCAACTCTACCCCTTATCTCCTGCCGGATTCCAGCCCATCCCCCTTCTTCTTCTTGGTCCCCACCAATTGTCTTGCCCTGCTGGGCGTCCACAGCAGAGATTCGGGAGACTTATGTGCCCAATTCGGACACCTTGCTGCAGCCTCTGCTAAGAGCCACTTGAGAAGGAAGATCAGCGGGCTACTTTCCAGTAGAATGTGTGCTTGCCAGAGCTGAAAGGGGAGGATTCTTAGGAGAGGCGAGAAAATGGGACCATTCCGAATTTTTTCTTGGTGAGAAAGCTACCACGTTTATCTTTTTTCTTCATGATACGGCCTTTAAACCATTAATTTTTTTTGTAAACCTTTCTGTCAACTCCTTGACTGAAATTGCTGTTCTATTTTTCCTGTATATTTTCCCCATTATGGTAAGTTTTTATGTGGGCATTCTGCTTTCTCTGGATGGCCTCCGAGATTTTTGTTTTCTTTTCAAATTGAGAATAGTGAGACTTGTATGTGGCTCTTTGATCCTTCTGTGAATAGATCTTTCATATCCTTTAGTCACTTCCTTTTGTGTCTTCCTTCTGCCTTCTGAAAATTGTCATTTTTTTGGCTTACACTTAAATTAGCGAGAAACACAGTATCAACACACATTTAGTGAGATAGAAATTCTTTAATACATACATAAATGTATGCTTGTTCACACATATATTACATTTACATAGCATATGTTTTGTCTATATTCATAGTTAAAGATAAATATTCAAGGTAATCTCGTATGTCTATCTTAATCCAGTGACATTATGTACAGATTCCTTTCTTTGCCTAAACTTACATATTCGTTAATACATACTTTTAAGAATTTCTATAAGTAGAATTAGAAAAAACTAGCCAATATAATTTCTAAAATTTAAAACAAATAAATAATTCATTTCTTAAAATCCTGTGTGTTATTCTTCTGCTCTATGATATGTTGCGTCCCAGCAAGCCAGGTTTTTTTCGATGCACAAGGAAATTTAAGTAATATAATTGTCACATTCTTAATTAAAGGTATTGATACAGTGGGATGAAACTCCTGAACTGCAGTGTCCAGTAGAGTTGGTGTTCTCTAAAATCAAAGGATGAATTTTAGGAACAAGGAAGATTAAGAGTAGAATATTTAGAAAAAGAAAGCCTTTGTCTGAGAGAGAGAAAAGGGGTCCTCAGCGGGTAGCCAAGGACTCTGTCTTTCCCAGGGACATTTATAGAGTTAAATCTTGGAGTAAGATGGGCTTAAGGTGGGTGAAACTGGGAATTCGCAAGGTAGAGGAACATAAATTTGGACAGAATTATAGTTAGCCAATAGGATTAATAATTTCAGTAAAATTGCTTAAATTGGGGATAAATGTGGAAGCCAGTTATGTATAAAGGAGGCATTCTTAGAGAACAATGTCTCTTCCCTAGGGGGTTGGAATGGTGACTTCTGACTTTCTCATGGTGAAAGAGAACTATTTACAATATCAGCCCTTAAGATATGGAGGCATTTGTTTGACCTTTTGTTTTGAGGCCAGGCCCACAGCAGAAGTGTCTGTCTCCCCTTTAGTTGCAAGGCATCTGGGTTTCTGCGTTGGCTCCTTGGAGGACCTAGTCCTGTCTCACTGCCTATAGTAGTTCTAACTAACTCAGCTGCCTGCAATAGTATCTGAAAACAACTATTAAGGAAGAAAAATCAGTAGCTGACATCATCAAAATTAACACTAAGCAATAGACTTTCCATATGATGGCCCAATACTTACTTTACTACTTGGAAAGTTAAACAACGTGCGACATTGTTTTATTGCAAAAAAATTTACTAATGCATAGTTTAGTATTTCATTCAAAGAGAACAAATATCTTAAAGTGATATTGGCCCTCAAGAATAGTGATGTAGGGGCTGGGGATTTAGCTCAGCGGCATAAGCGCCTGCCTTGCAAGCAGGCAATCGTGAGTTCGATCCCTGGTACCGATAAAAAGGAAAAAGAATAGTGATTTACATATTAAAGTATAAAATGCAAAGAGAAAATTGATAGAATGAATTTAGTACCATTCATGGAGAAAGAAGAAAAATCATTACCTAAATAGAGGGACCACTGTCCCCCATTAGTCCTAAATAATAATAATATAGTAATTACATAGACACTAATGTCATTACGGAAAATTTAGACATTCATAGACCCGAAAATTGAGAATCAAATTAAAAACAACAAAAGCAAAATGACAACAGCAACATCAAAAAAAAAAAAAAAAAAAAAACAATGGCAATATAGAAATTCAAAACAAGATGATAAGAATTTAACAACCATTAACAATGAATAATTAACCATTAACAATGAGTAATTTCTCAGGCTACCAGGCATGAAAGGTTGATCAAACAATAAAATTTCCCTTTGAGTAGTTTCTTTTTTTTGCTATATCTATTTATTTTATCATTTGGATCATATTTACCCTTTCAGTTGGTGCATTTTTATAAGTAGTTAAAAGTGTGGGTTCACTAGCCAGTAATATGATTGTGCATATTTTTTTCAACATACCCCAGGTTGGACTTAAACTTATAGCAATTCTCCTACTTCAGCCTCCCGAGTACTGAGATTATAGGCATGCACCACTGGGTCTGGCTTATGATTGCAATTTCTGTCTAACTTGCATCCAGTTTTTCAAAAAGTGATCTCATTTTTGATATTGTTTGTATCCTTTTGTGTTGTATATAATTTTGCACAGTATAATTTTGAAAATAATCAATAACTTTATGATATTACATCCCTTAGCATGTTGTCAGTTACATATAATAAGATGGCCAACTGAAATAGATTTACAGTAAAAGGATATTTTTATTTTTTATTTTTCAGGATATTTTTAATAATGTATATCAAAAATATAATTTTTATAGCTTTAATATACTCATTAGCTGTTATTGGCTGAATTATGTACCAGTCAGATTCATATGCTAAAGTTCTAGCGCAAAATGTGTCAGATTGTGACTATTTATAGAGATGACCATTAAAGTTGTATTTAGGGTAAGCATAGTCTTACATATAAGTCTTAATCCAATACAACTGTATTTTTATAAGAGGAGATTGGTACACAAATACACAAAAGGAAATGATGTCAGGGTAAGATGGACATTTACAAGCCAAGGGGAAATACTTAAGATTAAAAATCATCCCTGGTGACACACTGATTTAAATTTATATGTATTACTGAAATTAATTAGTCTGTGTTACTTTGCTATTGAAAACAAAGAAAGCAAATATAGTTAGCAACGTCACCAAAAACCTAGATTTATTTGCCTTCTATTTTTTGCTGTTTGGTTTATCCTAAAGCTTGCTGTAATATGGCTATCAGCAGCTTAGAATGGTGTATATTTTCTGACTGACTAACAAAAATTAGAAAAAAATTTAGTTTGTTTTTTTTGGTACTGGGGATTGAACTCACAACCTTGGGCTTACCAGGCAGGTGATTATACCGCTGAGGTAAATCCCTGGCCTGAAAGCAGAAAATTTTAGCCAATAGTTTTAGAGGAAAATTTAGGTTTTTTTTCCTGCTTTAGAGTAAAAAATCATCATAAGTCATGTTGTAGTCAGGGTTTTCAAGGGAATAGATTTAACACAGCACAATAATTTATAAGATTATTTTGTAATATTCTCTTGAAAAGTCAAATGCAGAAGAGTGCAAGCAATCCGTTAACCCACTAGAGATGCAAAGAGTCCAGCTGAGGTCCTGGATCCCACAGCAATGTCCCAAATGAGTCTACCTGAAGATCTAAAGCCCATGACAGTATCCTCCACAAATTTCCTCCACAAATATCCTCCACAAATAGCTTGAGGTCTAGAGCCCATGACAATGTCTCATGCAAGTTTGTATCAAGGATTTGCACTAGGAATGCTGTCTTGGATATTTTTCTTTCATTGCTGAGACAAAATACCTGACACCCAAAGTTAAAGGAGGAAAAGTTTATTTAGCTCACAGTTTGTGCAGGTTTCAGTTTATAATCAGATGGCTGTAAGATAGGGTGGCATGGTACAGGGAGACAACAGTTCAAAGCAGCAGGAGAGCAAAACAAGAACAGAAAAGGAAGGAACAAGCCTCTTTTCTTACTTTTATTTTATGCAGGATATCCAACCTGGATGAGTGTAGCATTCACATCCTCTCTGTGCCCTACTTTTGCACAGGCTCAGGATATTTACCAAGTGAGGCCTCTGACCTCCTGTTGAGTCACTTAGTTCAATTTATAAACTTCTCAAATTGACACAACAAACAGTTAAATTTATAAACTTCTCCATCCTAGAGCTGTAAGGGAATGTTCTTTACACCATAGGATGTAGAACTGTTGAATTACTTCGTTAAAAGCTTCTATACTTCTCAAATTGATGCAATGTATTAAACACAATATATGCCCAAATGTCTGTGGTAGAATCTAGAAAGTCTGTTCCAGCTGGATAAAGGATCTGTGCCAGCAATTGAGGGATCTGCACTGGAACCAGGAAGTGAAGCTCAAGATAAGAGCTAGAGCTCCCCCAAAGAGAATCACAGCCATCCTCTACGTAGCAGTGAGGACCCTAGATCATCAGAGGATGAGAACAGCTGAATTCATATCAGGAAAACTGGTATGACAAGGTTTACCAGGAGAATCAATAATGTACCATCTTTCCTTCCAGTGCTCGTTTAATGCTCTTGGCAACAATCCTCTGTTGGTTCTTCCACAACCAGAGCCATGCTGACTTAGTTCTACTTAGTGTTACAAATTGAACATTAGTTAATCCATCACAAATCATTTCCTTACCTTTATATTAAGTTAAAAGAAAATGCTGTCTTCAGTTAGATCCAGTTTATATAGTTGCTTCAAAAGCAACTGCATCAACAGAGTGGATCCATTTGGCAAATGTGGTTGTGATAATGAAGCCTCACTCTTGCTTTAGAGATTAGTGCATCCTACAAAATATTGTAGACATACACAATATATGAGGTCTCAAACAACAATGCACACAGAAAATCTATTTTGAAACATTATTTATAAGTTTTTATTATGCCAACAAAATTTATGTTTCTCTGATGCTATTTCCAGA